AAGACCCGCTCCGAACTCACCGGAATGCCATTTTTTGGTGACGGGTAGAGTGGTGGTTGGGTGGAGTGGTGGTTTAAGCCACCACCAAGACATCCGTTCGAGTGCCTTCTGTGTTCTAACTTCGAAGTCAACCTGCGAACAGTGCGAAGCCACTTTGTCATTGCGCCTAAACCACCAAGTTAACGTGCTAAACCGCTGTGAAACGGAATTCCCAGCATCCCAACCACGTTACAACCCCCACGAACCAATTAAAAACGGAGTTTCATCAAGTATGGGAGGCTTCTTCTTCGTCCCTCGACGGCAAGCTCTAGCTATGGCGCCTTCAAACTCCACCGCCCGACCTAACAAGGCCACCAATCGCCGCACACCCTCCTGAACCCGACGCCACTCTGCACCAATGATGATCCCCACTGCAGATGAAGCGTCCGCTCAGCAGGGGAGCGCAGCTCCCAGAATGGAGAAGAAGAAGACCAACTTGATGAAGAAGGAGATGGCCGCCACTTCGAAGTACACTTCGATGAAGAGCTTCGATGGCAGCTCTGTCTAGCCCCAACGGGCACGAAAGGGAGGCGCCTAACAACACTCAGGGTCTGATGTCCTGCGCAGCCTGAAGGAAACAGGAAGATATGGCCACCAACTGCCTGCCAGGAAGATGGTGTGCAGCTGGAAAAATAGCACCAAAACAGCAACACGCCCTCCTGCAATCATCATCAAATGAAGAAGCGGAAAAAAAGAACCGGAACTTCGTCCTGCCCTACACTTTTGTTCCTCGACCCTCTTTTGGACTCGACAGCCTACAGCCTGAAACCGACACCCTTACTGCCTAGGACCGAATCTCGACTGCAAATAGGCCTAAATCCACAGCCAGCATGGCTATACCTTTGGTAGCTCGTTTGCACTTGCAGGAGAGGGAGAGCAAAGTGGCTGTCGGTGGGCTTCTCTTTGTTTCCTCTGGTAATGCGCGTGGGATTTTCAATGAGTTTTTAACCTTTCTTTTTGAATTTTGTGCTGAGACTCCCTGGTACCTGGATGGGCCTTCTGGGCTGATCATTTAGGCAGCCAGAGTGAGACGGATGCCATAGCTTCCGGCGGGTTTTGTATTGTGTCTGGCAGATTCAGCTACCACACAGTGACATCAGCTCTTGTCCATTTGTCGCTGTTTCGTGGTTGTAGGGTGTAACCAAGCCTGGAGAAGTGAGGCAGTTTGCAAAGGAAGGCATGCCCGTTTATGAGAGCGACAAGAAGGGGGCTTTATTTGTCAAGTTCGAGATCGATTTTCCGGAAACATTAACAGAGGCCCAAAAAGGGGTCATCAGGACCACATTTGGAAGCGCTACGAGTTAATTCAGTTCAGTACAGCCTCGAGCGGAGAGAAGAGAGTGGACGAGGGTTGAATCGGTCGATTTGCTTTTTTTTTTTTTTCTTTTTTTTTTTCCTGTTTATTTTCTTGGCCATTGGAGCATCAGCAATTTGGCCCATTCATATCTCTAGGAATCGAAATGCACCCTTGTTGCAGGTGCGGTGCATCCGGATGCTTTTCGAGTTGACCTTGAAATGCCGGCTCTGTGCGAGTTGAGATGCTGCAGAGTGCCTTTACATAAGGAGATTCGCTAGGCAAGAAGGCAGGCGGCGGGTATCGAGAGAGGAGTTCTGTGGGGTGGGGTGGGGKGGGGGGGGGGGGGGGGGGGGGGGGGGGGGGGGGGGGGGGGGGGGGGGGGGGGGGGGGGGGGGCGTCTGGGTAAGTGTTGCAGGATCGAGACCAAGTTTGGGTTTTGTTATTCTTGTCGAAAATGGCTTTAAAAGGCCACAGTCTTGGATTTCGTGGAGTTCGACGTGCTTTCTTTCTTGCTTTGTGCGAGGCGTCCATGGGCGTGTAATGAATGTCCCATACCTTTCTCGTCACTGTTTTCTCTTTTGTCATTATATATATATATATATTCCATCTTCTGTTAATCTTCTATATATTCTCAATTCGTTCCCATAAAGCACACATCACTCGAACGGGAAGAAGTAGGGGCACGGATTAGCGTGGGATGATAAATTAATATTTATTTATTATTTATGCATTTCGATGCTCCAATGCGGTCGGTGACAAGCTGTAACTGCTTGCAAAGGGTAGAAGCACAGCTATGGCTTACCATGGCCAGCATGGTTGCCAGTGCCTTCTCCCTCCCATCCCCCCCTCTCCCCACTCCCTCTCTCTTTCAATAGGTATATGTCTTCTTTCCTCTTTCAGCAGGTGCAGAAATTTTGAGCTACTTTTGGTATGTTGAACTTATGTGTTTGATGGCCTCCTTGCTGATGCTGCTGCTGAGTTTTTTTTTTGAGGCTTTTGTTCAATAAACTGCAGTGTTTTTTTTATGGCTATGTTGTTGTGATTACAACGTCATTCTTGTTGTTTGTGTTTGAAGGACTTCTGAAAATGTTTATGGAGGCTGTGCCTTTGGTTGGAGGGGGTGTTCCCCGCATGAAAACACGCAAAGGTGAAGATTTCCAAATCTTGATCTATGTGTGTCATCCTTGCGCAGTGGCCGTGCTAATCTTCTCTCGATATCATTCCAACTTTGACGGATGTCCTGAACGACAGTCGGCAAAGCTTACTAGAAAGCTTTCTAGTAGCTTTCTAGTAGCACACTGGACATGTTCAGGGCTTTCCTGAACGCCCGAACATGTTTGGGTGTTTGCCGAACCGTCTCGCGAACGTGTTCGGTCGAACTTATTTTTAATAGGTTTTTTCTAGGAAGATTCTCACGCCCGGCCGGTCCTGCCTGGTCGGGCACCCGGGGGTGATGCTCGGGGTGATTGGACGTGCAGAAAAGAAACGTTCTTTTTTTTTGTTTTTTTTCAACTTTTTTGTTGTTTTTTTCATCTCTGATTTTGTGAAGAATTACCATGTGACCCTCGTAACGGATCCTCTTCTTTGAACTCGGCCGATGATGCCTTGTTCATAGGAGAGGCCGGCAATCTTTTGTGAGGGACACCGGGCCCGTTTCCCGGCTTGGAATATTAAAAAAAGACTTGTCTTTTTTATAAAAAAAAAGTCGTTTGCATTTCAATTCTACACAACATATATTTTTTCCAGATTTTTTTGAATTTTTTGATTTTTTTAAAAGAAAATTTTAATTTGTTTTGGCGCTGGGGCTGCCCGGAACCATGCCTGGGGGTCATGCCCGGCCGGGCACCCGGGCATGTATCCGGGCACAAGTTGGGTGCCCGGGCGCCCGGAAAAACAGCCTAATCATTTTTTTTTTGTTTATTCGAGTTTGGTTACGAAGTTGGACGTACCTCCCAGGCAAAAGTTGTTCGTGTTATTAATTTACATACCATATAATCATATTATAGTTCCATATATATATTTTCCAGATTTTTCTGAGAGTTCTTTTTTTTTGTGTGTGTGTTTTATGTTTGCGTTCGAAGGGTTTTGGCGCTCGTTCGCGTTCTCGACCGAGAACGTTCAGGTTTGGTTGCCGAATGCAAACACAACGCTACACAGCTTGGAAGTTAGTAAATAACTTTTGCGCGACCTCTGTTAAGTTAAACTCTTTCAATACTGTTTCTAGTTGTTTGCACCAATGTGCTCTCTGAGCATTTAGTAGTTGGTGCTGTGAGAGGCGGGCATAAAACGGGTGAATGGTACAGAGTCTACAGACATGTAACTGTTAATGAAAAGGTCCTGAGTTCGTATCCTGATTCATCATCATACAATAAAAGCTGTAGGGGTTAGGCTATCCTTCTTGTGGAAAAAGAACGAACCTCTTTCACCGAATGCCTCTGGAACACATGGCCAGAGGCTGTTGCCTGGGTGGGGAATCCCCGTGTGAACACGTGTCAGCTGCATACTCACCGCCCCTTTGGTCTGTCCGCCACCTCTTTCTGCGTGTGGGTCGCAATTTTCTACTTATAGTGGCGTACTCACATCAGGACTTTTCGTGGATGTATCTGACCACTTTTACAGCCAGACCTGAATGTATCTCACCACAACAGCGTCCAGAATTCGATGGGAGAAGTCCCAGTGGGAGTATGTCCTCAGCATCCCTTCGCTCTTGTTGCCAGACAAATGTGCCCAGGGCCACCCCGGGCTTACCAGGGGAGGGTGTAGCCCCGGGGGGGGGTCCAAGGTGGGGCCAAAACTGCATTTTTGCAGTTAGGCCCATGGGGTGCAGGTGTCCACTGTGCACCCCCCTGTATTTTTATTTTTATTTTTTGATTTATTTTTTGATTTATTTTTTGAATTTTTTTTGAATTTTTTTTTTTGGCCCCTCCCGGGCCGGGGTCAGGGGACCACCGCACCGGACCCCCGGGGCCGGGGCTGTGACAACCCACTGGCGGGGCATCGGCGGGGGATCGGCGGGGAAGTTGCAGCGTAATAGAAGAGGTCATAAGTTCCCTTTTCGATTCATTGGCCAAGTCCTTTGAGCGTCGTCACCGTGATGAGGGACTGGTACAGCCTTGCTCTCGCACCACAGCTGTGGTGCAAACGTACCCCGTGGGCTGGGGAGAGATCCGGGTTGGTTGGTGTTCCCCCATATTATAAATAATAGACTAGTGAGAGGATGAGATAGATGCATACTACCAAGAAAGATGAAATAGATTGAGAGAAGAATATAGATTACTTAAAAAAAAAGAAAAAAGAAAAAAGAAGTCCTTTGAGCGGTAATTTAACCCAAAAGAAAGGGAAAAAAAAAAGGCGTAACTGACATGCTTGGCATTTTTATCAGTGACTATTCTGAGTATGGTAGTGGGATTTTTTTGGACATCTAGGATGAGAGAGGACTCGGGTAGCGTTCAAAAGATGTTTGCAATGACCTTGATGTGTCAGTGGCAAATGCATGTGGCCAACATGGAGGAGGTTCGTGAATGTTCTCACAATTTCAGGTTGAGAACATTCAGGTAGGTTCCTGAATGCATCTCGCCAAGATGGAGGTGAATATGCATCTGAGAGGACTAGGGTTGTTTCAGAAGCGCAGCGCATACAGAATTTGGCTGGGCGGTGCCCAAGTCGCTATGTCGTTTTCGCAATCCGGCATATTGCAAATGCAGTGTGCACAGCTTTGGTGTTGGAGATAGCATGCTGAGGATGAGGCAAACGCCGAATCGATGAGGCAAAGGCCAGACTTGAGATGGTAAGCTACACGATGGGAGATGTTTGACGTTTCACATTTGTTAAACATGAGTGGATACAAAAAAAAAAAAAAAAAAAAAAAAAAAAAAAAAAAAAAAAAAAAAAAAAAAAAAAACACGAGTGGATTGATAGGCCCGGCAGGCCAGGCCGAATCGATTATGATGGATGGGCATCGTGACGATTATAGTGGATGAGAGGTTTGGAGTCTGGTCTGCAAAGGCTTTGAATCCGTGAGCCCCGGATTTTTGTTTTCGTGGGCCTCATGGCTAATTGAACACGAGCTCAGAATTTCCTTTCCTTGCTTCCTTCCATTTCTTTGCTGTTGCTGTGGCCGGTTTTGCCATGCACGAGGGTTTTTTGTTGCCTCGTTAGCGTTTGTACAGTTCTGGCGTGGAGTGCTGGATGGCAACGGGTGGTTGAATTGGATTGGAGTATGAAGGATTGGGAAAAGGAAATGGCGAAAGAGGAAATGGCGAAAGAGGAAATGGTGAAAGGGAAGTAAGGTGGGTGTGGGAGAGGGATCGGCGATGATGAAAGGACAAGAGATGAGAGTGATAGATATATCTTTGAGCGGGGAAGAGGAAGGAGAAGGCTGGAATCTTTGGTGAACGACGTTCAAAGCACAAAATATGCAACTGTGAAGACGAAAAATATCCTCTCGTTTTTTTTTTTTTTTTTTTTTTTTTTTTTTTTTTTAAGCACCGTTACCTCTGAGCCTCTCTTTGCGGAGGCGGAGAAGAACTGAGCACCAAGCTTTTTGTCAAAGCGCCAGCGTGACCTTTTTCTGGCTGGTGCGGCCAGCCCATTTTGCTCCGGCAGCGGCGGGGCTCGGAAGAATGTAGTATAGATTATATTCAAAACTTCACCTCTGTCTCTTTGTTTTTTTTTTGTTTTTTTTTTGTTTTTTTTTTGAAGGTAACAATGGTTCGAGCAAGGAAAAACTGTGTATTATACGAGCAAGGAGATGCGCCTGGCATCCCTCACAAAGGTGGGTGATCCTTCAGGTGAACGAGGGATCACCAGCCAAGTTCAGAAGAAGAACCGCTTGAGCTCTGATGCAAAAAAGGGAAGCGCTACCTTTTGCATAGCATTCCTAGCATTCCTCTTTTCGACTTCTTAAACCACACCATTACCTACCGCATTTTTCGTACCCCCCCCCCCCGGGTCGAATGAATATGGACCTGACGGGCAGACCGATTCGGCTACCGTGTTAACGCCCGCAACAACCAGTAGGTACTGGTGATTTAACTTCTTAGCACAGTGTTGTGGGAAAAAAACAACAAAGAATCCTGTCGTAGCATTCAGAAAGGAAGAAAACGTACATGAGACCGAAGATTGCTTTGCGAGTGTCATGTCTGCTTTCGTAGGAGCCATGCGAATCTACTCTAATGCCGATCTACATGGATGTTGACGAAATTGTTCCCTCTGGGGACAGCGAGTGGACAGCACTTGTGGTAGGTAAGTATTTTCGTTCTGTGTAGACCTTTAACCACCATACGGGCTGTTGTTTAAAAAAAAAAAAAAAAACCGGGTCCAGCATTCCATCATATCATCATCATGTAGCCCACTCACCGGGCGGCGGGGCCTTTCTCGCCTTTACTGGGGCCTCCCTCCGGCTTCAGGCTATAAAGCAGAAGGAAGGATCTGTCTGTTAACGGCCCCTCCCTCGCCTCTTCACCCAACTGGCTGCCAGATACTCTGCATTGTCCCAACAAGCTGAGGTCTCGCTTAGTCTGCCCTATACCACTGCATATCCACCGAGGACAGTTGATG